TATTGTATTTGTATATTAAATATATATATATATATATATATATATATTACACATTAAATACATATACATTCAGATATATAATTATATTTCTATATATATGCATGCATATTATACCTTTATGATATATATATATATATAATATATATATATATATATATACATATATATTTAACAGAATATATATATATATATATTATATATGTATTATATATATATATATATAATAAATGCAAATCCCCGGTGTATGTACACCTCATTAAAGCCCCTTGTTTGTTTTTTTTGTTTCTTCTTTTTTGCTTCTTTTGTTTAAACCCCAGATGCAATAAAAGAAGAAGACAGCAGAGCAGCAACTGTCTCCTTTAATGCGTCAAGCGCAGAGACTGCAGCAACCACCTGTCTCCCCCTTGAGCTGCTGCTATATATAATGTGCATACATCATACATTTATATATATATATATATATATATTATATATATTATATATTATATATATTATATATATTACATAATATATATATGCAGGAAGAGACAGAATAACAATGCCTTCGTCAAGGCCCCCTATCGAGAGACCAGGTCCTTAAGGGGCTTCTTTGCTGCTGCTGCTGCAGGGTTGCTGCTGCTGCTGCTGCAGGGTTGCTGCTGCTGCTGTAGGGTTGCTGCTGCTGCTGCTGCAGGTTTGCTGCTGCTGCTGTTGCAGGGTTGCTGCTGCTGCTGCAGGGTTGTTGCTGCTGCTGCAGGGTTGCTTCTGCTGCTGCAGGTTTGCTGCTGCTGCTGGAGGTCTGCAGCTGCGGCTGCAGGTTTTCTACTGCTGCTGCTGCAGGCTTGCTGCTGCAGCAGCAACCCTAGCATGCAGAGCAGCAGATGCTGCCGATGCCCCTTTGCTGCTTCTGGCGGAGACATGCAGCAGCGGTAGCTGCTATTAAGCGTGTGCAGCATCATCATCAGCAGCAACAGCAGCAGCAGCAGCAATAGCAGCAGCAGTTATGAATGCATGCGCCTAAATCCCTGATATTCAAACTGAAGTTGCAGCAGCATGTAGAGATGCTGCGGTGTATCTCCATTTCAATAGCAGCAAAAAACAGCAGCAGCAACTCTTAAACGCCTTCTACGCTCCCAAGAGCCGCTGCTGCCGCTGCTAGTGCTGCTGCTGCTGCTGCTGCTGCTGCTATTGCTGCCGTTGCTGCGACGCCCGTTACTGCTGGTGCTCCCACTGACCTTCCTGCAGGTGGTGGTCTTGCTCGTGCTGCTGCTGCTGCTGCTCCTGCTGCTCCTGCTGCAGCTGCTGATGCTTCTCTTGCTGCAGCTGCTGCTGCTCCTACTCGTGCTGCTGCTGCTGCTGCTCTGCTTCTGCTGCAGCAGGAGCAGCAGCTGCAACCCTAACACGAATATTCCTTGTGCGTAAGGAGGGCGTCAGCCCCAAAGGCCTCCACAGCTATATTCAACTTCAGCAGCAGCTGCTGCTTACGTTGCTGCTCATGCTGCTTCTGCTGCTGCGTCTGCTTCTGCTGCTGCTCCTGCTGCTGCTTCTGCTGCTGCGTCTGCTTCTGCGTCTGCTGCTGCTGCTGTAAGGTGGGCCTTTCCACCTTCCAGCTGACGGCTCCTCACGGAGGCAGCAGCAGTAGCTGCTGCTGCTGCTGCTGCTGCTGCTGCTGATGTTGGCGCTGCCCTTGCTGCTGCTGCTGCGCCAGAGCAGCCTTGGTGCTGGATTTGGTTGCTGCAGCAGCAGCTGGTGCTTCACCGGGCCCCCCCCCCCTTGAGCGCCCTCGTGGGGGCCCCCCTGTGAAGTGCTGCTGCTGCTGGGCCCTGCTGAGGCCCTGAAGGGGTCGCGGAGCCGCTGCGCCTGGCAGCAGCAGCAGCAACAGCAGCAGCAGCAGCAGCCGCAGAGGTCGCTGCTACAGCAGAATTTATAAGGTCTTGAGTGTGTTGGTGTAATTCTCTCCGGTGAGCCTCTGCTGCTGTTGCTGCTGCTGCTGTTGTTGTTGCTGCTGCTGGTGCTGCTGCTGCTGGTGCTGGTGCTGCTGCTTCTGCTGCTGGTGCTGCTGCTGCTTCTTCTGGTGCTGCTGCCGGTGCTGCTGCTGGTGCTGCTAGTGCTGCTGGTGTTACAGGTGGTGCAGTTGCTAGTGTTGCTGGTGTTGCTGCTGCTGCTGCTGCTGCTGCTGCTGTTGCTGCTGTTGCTGCTGCAGCTGTTGCTGCTGTTGCTGCTGCTGCCGCTGCAGCTGCAGCTGCAGCTGGGTCCTGTTGTTTATAAGTAAGGTATTGGTTTATGCGTGTGCGGTGCTTAGCATCCTGCTGTTGCTGCTGCTGCTGCTGCTGCAGTGCCCGGGGGCCCCCGGGGGCCCCCCTAGAACTTACTGTTGCTTCTAGCTGCAGCAGCTGCTGTATGAAACCAACGTTTGGCCGTGCAATCGGGCGGTGTCTCCTGACAGCTAAATAAGCAGAGCGAAAGGAGTGCCCTTCATATAATATTAAATATGCCTGACGAACAGAAGAGACAGACAAACAAATACACAATACTAATCTAAACAACACACTGTGCTGCAGCAGCAAGCAGACAGCTGCTGCTGCAGTATTAGGATACAGCTGCTGCTACAGTATTAGGAGACAGCTGCTGCTTCTGTATTAGGAGACAGCTGCCGCTGCTGTACTATGAGACAGCTGTTGTTGCAGTAAGGAGACAGCTGCTGGTGCAGTAAGGAGACAGCTGCTGCTGCAGTAAGGAGACACCTGCTGCTGCAGTAAGGAGACAGCTACAGCTGCAGCAAGGAGACAGGCTGAGGAGACAGCAGGTGCTTCGTTTTCTGTCTCCTGTCTCCTTTTGGGTGTCTCCTTTGTGCTGCCTCACCATACAAACAGCAACCGAACGAGAAATGCCTTTCTCGCAATGAATTAACACATTGCAGCCCCTAAGCAGCACAAACAAAGACAAAAAAATAAACAAGAAGAGACATTCAGACTGCAAAGAGAGACAGAGAAGAGAGAAGAAAGAAGAAAGGAGAGGAGACACCAAAAGAAAGGAGACAGAAGAGAGACAGAAGAGAGACAGCAGAGAGACAGCAGAGAGACAGACAGGAGACAGAAGAGAGACAGCAGAGAGACAGAAGGGAGACAGGCAGGAGACAGAGAAGAGACACAAGAGAGACAGAGAACGGGCAGAGAGGAGACAGTAGAGAGACAGAAGAGAGACATAAGAGAGACAGCAGAGAGACAGAAGAGAGACAGCAGAGAGACAGCAGAGAGACAGCAGAGAGACAGCAGAGAGACAGAGAAAGAAGAAGTAAGGAAGGAGACAGCAGCAAATGAAAATAAGGAGACAGGCCCCGCACCTTACAAGGGCTTCTCTCACTGCCCCCAGAGGCATCTGCTCGAAGCGCATCGCCTATAAACAAAACCAGCAGCAGCAGCAGCAGCAGCAGCAGCAGCAGGAGCAGCAGCAGGACATTACCCTAATAAAGGGTGTCTCTTTGTGGTGTCTGTCTCCTCTACAGTGTATAAGTATGTTTGCGTTTTACTTGGGTGCTGCTGGGGCCCCTCTGCTGTCTCTCCTAAGCCTAAATAATAGAGACAGCTAAAAAGGAGTACTTACTTGAGAAGGGTCGTCTATTAAAGCGTGAAATACCCTCAAAATGCGAAGCTTGTTGCAGAGAAGAGACTGTCTCTGAACCCAAGACCCGAACGGCCAGGCTACAGAGAACAATACAGATATTTTCAGAGACAGCAGCAACTCTTCGTTTAATGCATTTAATAAACTCCCGACAAAGAGCTTCCCTGAGGTTGATGTACACACTAAGCCGGGACCCAACTTGCTGCTAGTGCATGCAGCAGGTAAAGAAGCAACATAAGCGTATATCTCTCCTGCTGCTGCAGCAACTGCTGCATCTTCTTTATATACCCACCCAAGACGAGGAGGCATATTATGCGGCCCCATGCTGTACCCTCTACCCAAAGGACCCCCTCCTGAGTGCAGGGGGGCCCCCGGGGCCCCAGGGGCCCCTGGGGGCCCTATTGCCCTCCTCCCCATAGGAGACCCAGCAGCCTGGAGGCCCCTGGGGGCCCCTGGGGGCCCCTGTGGGGCCCCCCCCCGGGTTCCCTGTGGGGCCCCTCCTCGTGTTCCCGGGAGGGTACCCTGGGGGGGGGCCCCTCCCCGGGTTCCTTGGGGGGCCCCTCGGGGCACCTGGGGACCCTGGGGGGCCCCTCGGGTTCCTTGAGGGGCCCCTCCGGGGCCCTGGGGGGGACCCGGGGGCCCCACTGCCCAGGGTGGGCCTTCGTAGCCTGGTGATAAGACGCGTGCATGCAGAGGTGAGGCGGGGCCTAGAGGCGAGGGAGAGAAAGTAGAAAGAGCAGCAGCAGCAGCAGCAGCAGCAGCAGAAGGTGAAGCAGAAGAAGCAGACGAAGAAGAAGAAGCCCCTTTAGAGAGCTCCACGCGCCGGCTGCGACGCCCCCCTAATAGAGGAAAGAACCACATGCTTCTGCTGCTGCTGCTGCTGCTGCTGCTGCTGTTGTTGTTGTTGCTGCTGCTGCTGCTGCTTCAGTGTTGGCGAGGAAGAGAAGAAGGTGAAGAGAGAAGAAAATGTAGCAGCAAAATAAATGCAGTAGACAGACTCACAGAAGCAACACGCAGCTGACCAATGGACACCCGAGCCCGCTGCAGCAGCAGCAGCAGCAGCAGCAGCAGCAGCAGCAGCAGCGGGTAGTAATAGGAGTAATGAATTTACAAGGAAGACACGTACAAACAACAACAGCTACAATACATAAATATTATCAGCTGCAGCACACTGCACACAAAAGCAAAGAGACAGAAGCCCTCAAAGCAGCAGCAGCAGCAGCAGCAGCAGTAAGGCTCTCGCTGCACCGCGAACAGGGCAGCAGCAGCCCATCGGCAGCAGCAGCAACAGCAACAACAACAGCAGAAAGCTGTCTCTTTTGTGTGTAAGCTTTCTATAACTCAAAACCCTCAAAGAACCCAAAACACTGCTATCGAACACACTGCTCTAGAGACAGGCTGCTGCTGCTTCTGCAGCAGCAGCAGCAGCAGCAGCAGCAGCAGCAGCAGCGCCTGCTGCTCCTGTGAGGCTGACGAGTGTTCCCAACATTAAGACAGGATTGATTTAATAAAATAGGGGTTTAGGGTTTAAAGAAACACAAAAAAGGGTTTAGGGTTTAGAGAGAGGCAAAAAGATATAAAAATAAAGAAGGGGGCCGGTGTGTCTGCTGCAGTCTTCATCGAGAGCTGTCTCTCTTTTATTTAATTAATTAATTAATTAATTAATTAATTAATTTATTTATTTATTTTTAATTATTATTTACTTGACTTCTTCTCTTCTAATGTCTTGCTCGCCTCTTCCGCAGAAGGGCCCCTATAACAGCCGCCAACCCCGAGCTCCCTGTACACCCTAAACCCTAAACCCTAGTAAACCCTAAACCCTAAACCCTAAACCCTAAACCCTTGTTTTAACTTTAGGAGCCCAACTTCACCATGGCCCCAAGTACTCTTCTTTGAGAGAAGACAACAGCGCTCTATACATATGAATACAGATAAACATATATATACATATATATATATATATATATATATATTATAAATTTGCTTCTTTGTCAGCTGCAACAGACAGAGAGAGACCAGTGGTCCTCCCGATGCTCCCATTAACTTCTTTAGGAAAACTTTTATTACAAACATTCTTCGCATACACCTCAATGAGGCCCCTATACACCTCAAATAAAGTACCTGTATACCGGTGAATAAATATATATAGTATATATATATGTGTGTATATGTATTATATATGTATACACATACAAGTATATATATATATATATAATATATATGTATATATGTATATATATAATATAGACAGGGTGAGGCTATACTCTTTTGTTGCTGCCCTGTCTCTCTCAGAGCTGCAGCTACAACCCCTCATCATAGACTGCTACTTAAACCCTAAACCCTAAACCCTAAACCCTAAACGGTGAAATGTAAACCCCTAAACACCAAACCCTTAAGTTCGAAACTGTCTCCCTGAGGGACACGCACAATTGCTGCTCCTCACAGCAGCAGCAAGGGCTGCAGCAGCAGCAGCAGCTGCTGCAGCAGCACCTGCAGCGGCAACACCGCCTGCAGCAGCAGCAACTGCAGCAGCAGCAGGAAGTGCAACCGCAGCGGCTGTAGCTGCAGCAACTGCAGCAACAAAAACTGCAGCAGCAGCAGCAGCAACTGCAGCAGCTGCAGCAGCAACTGCAGCAGCAGCAGATTGAGTTTAAGGGCTCTGGAGTTCCTCAGGCCTTGGGGGGATATCCCCAAAGTCTAATCCGCACTGTTCGTACCTGCAGCAGCAGCAGCAGCAGCAACAGCAGCAGCAGCAGAGATAGGGAGAGATACAGCCTCGCAAGCAAAGGCAGCAGCAGCAGCAGCCACAGCTGCAGCAGCAACAGCGGCAGAGATATGAAGAGATCCAGCCTCGCAAGCAAAGGCAGCAGCAGCAGCAGCAGCAACAGCAGCAGCAACTGCTGCAGCAGCATGTGTCTCCTCTGAGGTCTCACTGTCTCTTCAGGAACTCGGAGGCCCACTTCACGTCGTCTTCGTCCTGGTCTGAGGCACCACACCCTAAACCCTAAACCCTAAACCCTAAACCCTAAACCCTAAACCCTAAACCCTAAACCCCAAACCATAAACCCTAAACCCTAAACCCTAAACCATAAATCATAAACCCTAAACCCTAACCCCTATATGTGCGGCCTGTTAGTCGCCAAGCAGATAAAGAGCTATCCTCTTGAAAACAGCCTAGCAGCAGCAGCAGGAGCAGCAGCAAAAGCAGCAGCAGCAGCTTACCCCAAGTGAAGAGACTGCTGCTTTCTGCTGCTGATAGGTCTCTAACTTGCGTTTTTTCTTCTGCTGTCTCTGCTTCATAATGTCTCCTTTCGTTGCTGAGGGTCGCCTCGAACGACTGTTTGCTGCTGCTGCTGCTGCTGCTGCTGCTGCTGTTGCTGCTGGCAGCAATATGTTGCTCAACAGCTTTGAATTCTTTAAAAAGTATTTCTTTGTCTTTGCTTCTTCTTCCTTTCTTGTCGCAAACATTAAAGCCAGACCCTTCATATTCTAAGGGGGGCCCCCCATCTGTTTGTAGGGGGCCCCCCCCCTTTAAAGAGTACCTCCCTGCCTCCTCTGAGGCCTCTGACGGGGCCCCTACTGCCTCCTCTTCTGCTGGGGGGCCCCCAGGGGGGCCCCCGTGGGGGCCCCCCCAGGGGGCCCCTGCTGAGTGGGGGGCCCCCCGCCGGTGAAGAGGGTTCGGGGGGGCCCCTATAGATGTCTGGGGGCCCCCTTCTGCTGCTTCCCTATAGGGTCTAGGTGTGCTGCCTTCATTTGTTTGTGCTGCTGTCTGCATATCTTTAAAAAGATTTGGTTGATAGGGGGGCCCCTCTTCTGAAGCAAGAAGAGCAGGAACAGCAGGGCGATAAGGAGAGTAAGGCCGTGCTGCTGCTGCTGCTGCTCCTCCTGCTGCTGCTGCTGCTGCTGCTGCGCCTCCGTTCCCCCGCTGAAGAGCAGCATAGGCCCCAATGCTGTGCTGCAGCGGCAGCAGCAGACGCCGCAGTGCTGCTACTTGCTGCCTTGTTGCTTCCAGCTTCGCTCGCGTCTCAGATAGGGCCTAAGCAAAACAATACACACAAACTACTCCTCTGCTGCTGCTGCTGCTGCTGCTGCTGCGCTGCTGCTGCTGTGGTGCTGCTGCTGAGGCTTCGTTGCACGTATTTCGCAGTTGCAGTCTCACTGCCGCTGCTGCTTCGCTGCTGCGTTTTTGCTGCTGCTGCTTTGCTGCTGCTGCTTTGCTGCTGCAGGCAGGAGCCCCCAGGTGTCAGTTGTACAGGGGAAGCCCGCAAGGGTTTAGGGTTTAGGGTTTAGGGTTTAGGGTTTAGGGTTTTCTCACTGCTTGAAGCTTTCCCTCTCTCTTTTTTTGTAGCCCCAGCGTTCGCAGGCCTTCTCTTTCAGAAGGAGACAGGCCCCTGTCCCTAATAGCAGCAGCAGCAGCAGCAGCAGTAGCAGTAGTAGTAACAGCAGCAGCAGCAGCAGCAGTAACAACAGCAATAGCAGCAGCAGTACCAGCAGCAGTGGCAGTAGTAGCAGCAGCAGTAAAGCTGGAGAGGATTCGTTGGCAGCAGCAGCAGCAGCAGCAGCAGCAGCAGCAGCAGCGGAGATGTCTGTACGTACAGGGGTTGTTTGTTCAGCAGCAGCAAGAGGGCCCCCTGCAGCTGCTGCAGCTTCTCTTCTAGGGGCCCCGCCTCTGCCACCTGCAGCAGCAGCAGCAGCAACAACACAACAACCTGCAGCAGCTGTTCTGCTGCTCTCAATCCCCCTGCTGTCTCCTTCCTGCTGCTGCACCAGCAGCAACAGGGTTTAGGAGAAGGTAGAAAAATTAGGGTTTCCTGCTGAGCTCTCCTAAACCCTAAACCCTAAACCCTAAACCCTAGGAATGCTATACCTCTGCTAGGCCCTGTCGCTGCCTGAGTATTTGGGTTTTACTAAGCCCTAAACCCTAAACCCTAAACCCTAAACCCTAGCCTTCCTGGAACCGCAGTGTCTTTTCCCCCCTTCCTCCCCCCCTGAGGGTTTAGGGTTTAGGGTTTAGGGTTTAGGGTTTAGGGTTTAGGGGTACCTTTTTACTGAGTTCTTGGGGCAGTACGGAGACACATTGCTGCAGGCGTTCACCAAACTGTCTCTCTGCTGTCTCCAGCGCCAGCATAAACCTAATCCTCTCTCCTTCAGTAATCTCTTCAGGGGGCCCCCTGGGGGCCCCCCTATACACCACACGAGAAGGGGTGGGGGCCCCCCCCGCCTTCCCTGTCCCTTGCAGGGGCCCCCTGCTGCCTGCTCTGGCGCGTGCTGCTGCTGTTGTTGTTGCTGCTGCTGCTGCTGCTGGTGCTGCTGCTGCTGCTGCTGCAGTTGGGTGGGGGCCCCCCACTGAGAAGGGCCTCTTGCTGCTTCCATAGGCCTCGGGGTTGGGGGCCCCCCTGCATGAGGCAAAGGGTTTAGGGGGCCCCCCCCCTGCTTCTCTCTTATTAGCTGTACTGTCTATCCCTATCAACTTCTCCTGCAAATTCAAGTTAAGCTTACTCAATTCTCTTTGATTTCTCTCTAGGGCCTCAGCTAAAGCAGCAACACTGCAGTCACCAGAAGGGGGCCCCCCTATAGGGGCCCCTCTGGGGGCCCCCATACCCTGACATGCTCTTGCAGGGCTAGCAGAGAGGCGTCGAGTAGACATTTGCTGCTGTTGCTGCTGTTGCTGCTGCTGCTGCTGCTGCTTTGGTGGTGTACGTACACCACTTCGTCTTAGGCGTGTCCCTGGTGTCTCCTTCGCAGCAACAGCAAAGGGGGCCCCTCCAGATGCCCTATAGAAGGGGGCCCCCTCAACAGGGGCCCTGGGTGTATTGGGATTGCAGAGACTACGTCTTGTATATTCTTTAATTGTAGAGACAGCCCTAGGTGCTGAGCGAGCCCTTGGGGGGCCCCCTCGGGGGCCCCCAGGGGCCCCCTGCTGCTCAGCTCCCCGTGCTGCAGCAGCGGGGGGCCCCTTCTCTAAACACCGAGGCGTTGGAGGTAGAGGCAGCAGCAAGGAGACACCAGCACCTGCTGGGGTGTATGGCGAGTAAGGTATATGAAGGCGGTTGTGTGCTGCTGCTGCTTCATCGGACATTGCGGGGGCCCCCAGGGGCCCCCAGGGCCCCTCCAGAGTAGCCAACGGCAACAAAGTATAAAGAGAAAGAAAAGAGTATAGAGCGTAGAGGGCTCTCTACATTTATATGAATATAATAATTAATTAATGTCTCTAAGGGGGCCCCCCAAAGGACCCTGAAGCCTGGGGGGCCCCTTGTAGACAGCAAGGAGGAGAAGCAGAATGAAAATAAAAACATAAAATAATTAAATATATAAACAAATAAAAATATACATCAAATAGACAACAATAGCAGACACACTGGGGGCCCCCAAGGGCCTCCACGGGGGTACGCGGAGTTGATGGAGGCCCCCCCCTTCTCTATCCTTTATCTTAAAAGATTTCTGCATAAATCTTTAATTTATTATTTAAACTTTTCATATTATTTAATATTTATTAAAATTTCAACGCGGAATTAATAGAGAAATGCTGCTGCTGCTGCTGCTGCCGCTGCTGCTGCTGCTGCTGCTCGCCGCTATACCTGCCTATACACCCAAACTAAACAGCTCTCTCTCCTTCTCTCTTCTACACCTAGTATTTAGCTTATAATTCTCATTTAAATCAATACTAATTATAATATAATATCTAAATATAATGTATTAAGACAATACTTCTACTACGGTGCTGCTGCGCCTCCTATACTCTTCACCACTGACAGCCAGCCCTCAAACCCTAAACCCTAAACCCTACCCCCCAAACCCTAAACTAAACCCTAAACCCTCTACTACCCCCTAAACCCATCGATAAACCCTAACTAATTCCTTCCTTTACACTCGGACCTCACCTAAACTCTAAACCCTAAACCCTAAACCCTAAACTAAACCCTAAACCCCTAAAAAACAGCTGCAATTAACCCCTACACCACCGCCAAACAGAAATGCTTCAAAGAAGAATATAGACGAAACTGTCCTATGCAGCAAGGGTACAAACGAGGGCCCCCAAGGGGGCCCCCCACAGGAGGCCCTCCCCCAGGGGGGCCCCCTTGGGTTGCACCTGAAAGCTGCGGGTATAGGGCAGGTAGAGGGTTTATTTGCTGTCTAGAGGTGGTTATTTGGTGGGGTTGCTGAGGATAGACAAACAAAACCCTGAAGAGTTTGAGGGTTTACTGCTTGTTTGCTGCCTCCGCCTCTTCCGCCAGCTTCTTTGCGTGCTTCCCCACCTAATACACAAACACCAAACCCTATACCCTAAACCCTAAACCCTCGTTCTCAAGAGAGGAACAGCGTGCAGGCAAGGGAGGCCACAGAACCTCTACTCCTAAACCCTAAACCCTAAACCCTAAACCCTTACATTCTTTGCGTCTCTCAGCTGCTTCCTGAGGGTGGCATAGGCGCGGAACTTCTTTTCCTCTTCAGTGATCACGCGGGCCTGAAAGCAAAGAAGGAGCCTCAACCCCAACCACCTAAACCCCAAACCCTAAACCCTAAACCCTTGCAATGGGAGTAAGTAATGTATACAGAAACAGAGGAGGAGGGGCAGTCTTCAGCATTGCAGATTTTATTAAAAAGAATCACTGCCTCAATTGGCTACATTTAAAAATACTCATCAGTTCTTCCTGCCCCTCAACTCCTTCATTTGAGCTGCCTATACACCTGAAAATTTGGGGTGTATAGGCAGCTCCACTCATATTAACGCATGCATTAATCAAACACACAAATAACCCATTAAAACAAATAAATAATAATAATCATATTATTATTATTATTATTATTATTCACAAATATATCAGCTCAACAGGGAGAAAACACCGCCACCGCCAGCAGCAGCAGCAGAACAGCAGCAGAACAGCAGCAGCAGCAAAAGGCTTACGCGGATCTTCTTTTTGGGTTTTTCAATGGGGAGAGAGGCGGCAATGGATGTTTGCTTTGCGTTTTGCAGCTGAGACTTGGGAGTGTCTGCAGGCACCCCTGCCAGGCCCTTCTTCGCCTTAGAGCCTCTCTAAGACAACAACAAACAAACAAATTATATATTTATATATGCATGCATGTATATATACATGCATATATACATATAATATATATATATATATATTTATATTTATATTTATATATATACGCTTACTTATTGATATTCATACATATATACATTGATACAGAAAAATAAATAAAAAAGCAGACTGATTAATATTTATAAATTTACATTAATATACACCTCTTCCAGACAATATAAATAAAATATATATATATAATAATAATAATAAATAAACAAATAAATAAATATATATATATATATATATATATATACCTGGAAGAGCACAAGCTTGCTGAGATAGAGTTTAAGTCGATTAACATTTGTCGTGAGAGACTCTTGACTTCTGTTTCTCCTGCGGTGGTCCACTGCAATGCCGATTGACAGCGCAACGCGAGGAGACACGCCCACAGCCTGAGCAGCACCCACACACACAGACGCTCTTGCAACTTAGCTAGCTGGCTAGCTAGCTAGCTAGCTAGATAGATAGATAGAGGTAGATAGAGAGGTAGAGGTAGATAGGGAGATAGAGAGATAGATAGGTATATGGATAGGAAGCGAAAGAGAAAGAGAGCTGTTTAGATGCCTAGCTAGCTAGCAAGCTAGCTAAGTAGCTAGCTAAGGAGATAGCTAGCTACGGAGATAGCTAGCTAAGTAGTTAGCTAAGAAGCAGGCTAGCTAAAGAGCTAGCTAGCTAGCTAGCTAGCTAGCTAGCCATAAGGGAGGTTGAATCACTGCTCTACTAGGAAATGCAGCGGCCTCTCGGCCATAGAAAACCCTAAACCCTAAACCCTAAACCCTAAACCCTAAAGAGGCTGACCTTGAGCTCCTCTAGAGTGAAGCCTCTTCCTTCGCGCACTTTAATATTATATTTTTGTGTGGGGCATCGAACAGCAGGGCGGAGCAAGTCAACTGGCCTGCAGCAGCAGCAGCAGCAGCAGCAGCACATGCGGCAGCAGAAAATGTAACAGCAGCAGAGCCCCAACCAACACCAGGAGCAACAGCGGCAGCAGCAACACCAAGACAAGCAGCAGCAAGAGAAGCAGCAAACTCTTCAGCATCATTAGGACCACCAGCAGCACACCCATCAACAGCAGCAGCAACTGCAGCACGTCCATCAGCAGCAGCAGCAGCAACAGCAGCAGACCCATCACAGCAGCAGCAGAAGCATTAGCATCAGCAACAGAACAATCAGCAGCAGCAAATGCATCAGCAGCAGACCCATCAGCAGAAGCATCAGCAACAGCAGCAGAAGAATAAGAAGCAGCAGCAGCAGCAGCAGCACTTGCATACCTAACACCGTTTTTTGCTGCTTTCTTTTGTCGCTGAATGCGTCTTCTCTGCTTCCTCGCCGGCTGATTGAACCAAGTCCGTACATAGCGCTGCCACTCCTTGCGGAGGTGCACGTTAGGCAGCTGCGCTGAGCGGCTCACCATCTTCGCTGCAGCAGCAGCAGCAGCAGCAGCAGCAGCAGCAGCAGCAGCAGCAGCAACAGCAGCAGCAGAGGCAGAGGGAGAAGGGATGTGAGGGCGTAGAGACACACGAATAAAAAGAATAAACTCGTTAATAATTAATGCATGCATTTATTTAAACAATTAACCCTTTAAATACTAAACCCTAAACCCTTAAAAGGAGGGCCCCACAGAGCAGCAAAGAAGAAGCTGAAGCAGCAGAACATCACTACACGTACACCGCAAGCTGTCTGCAGTTTTACTTAAAAATATAAATACTTTCTGCTATATATCAAGCAGCATTTGCTGCTGCTGCTGCGGGGCCGAGAAAGGCACGGAGACCCTGCAGCAGCAGCAGCTACTGCAGCAGCAACAACTACTGCAGCAGCAGCAGCAGCAACACCAACAAGCGTACCTTAAAGGATAAGAAACAATCAGGAGAGCAGCAGCAGCAGAAGCTCCGCAAAAAGAAAAACAGGTAATCTCCAACCTGTTTTGCTGCAGCATGCAGCAGCAGCGGCTGCTGCTGCAGTCGCTGCTGCAGCTTCCCCACAAGGCAGCAGCAGCAGCAGCAGCAGCTGCAGCCCTGAAGCAGCAGCAGCAGCAACACCAAACGACAAAGGGGGTTCTGCTGCATTGCTGGATTTATAATACCCTTCTCCTTTTGTCTTTCTCTTCGCCGCCCTTCAATTACTAGAACAAGGTATCCGTCTTTGCTGCTGCTGCTGCTGCTGCTGCTGTTCCTTCTGCTGCTGCTGCTGCTGCTGCTTCTGCTGCGCCCCGCACGGAGGAGGTGTGCCTCTTAGCTCTGCATTTTCTTGTAAATTGTTTGAATATTTCTTTGGGTTGTATATCCCTCGGTGTAGCTGCAGATCGAGGTCTCAGCAGTTGCTGCAGCAGCAGCAGCAACAGCAGCAGCAACAGCAGCAGCAGCCTGCTGCTGCAGTTGCTGTTTTGTGTTGTTGGATATTTACAGGTTTCAAGTTGTTATAAATTGTGCTGCAGTGTATTTGAGTTCTTTTTTGCTGTTTTTTTTTGTTTGTTTCTCCTTATAACACCGCCCCTCTACTGCTGCTGCTGCTGCTGCTGCTGCTGCTGCTGCTGCTGCTGCAGGTGCTGCAGCAAAGATGGCGGAGAACAGGAGAACACGGCGGGTTCAGACATTCGGAAGGAAGAAGACAGCAGTAGCTGTCGCTCTCTGCACAGAGGGTAAAGGGTTAATACGCATCAATGGTGCCCCCCTGCACCTTCTCAAGCCTGAAGCACTCAGAGCAAAGGCATGCGAATCTATTCTTGTCCTTGGTACGCTAGGGTTTAGGGTTTAGGGTTTAGGGTTTAGGATTTGGGAGGCTTCGGGGCAGCGTATAGCGGCTGTTATTGCTCGTGAGAAGCTGCTTTCATCTCCCTCGTCCTCCTCTAACTCCTACTGTTTAGGGTTTAGGGTTTAGGGTTTAGGGTTTAGGGTTTGTGTGCAGGAAAGGAGAGGTTTGAGGGTATAGATATTCGCGTGCGAGTTCGTGGAGGCGGTTTTGTCTCTCAAGTGTATGCAGTCCGCCAAGCCATAGCAAAGGGGGTTGTCGCCTTCTATCAAAAATGTGAGGGTTTAGGGTTTAGGGTTTAGGGTTTAGGGTTTAGAGTCTGTCTCTGGTGTTTAGTGTGATATTTATATATTATATATATCTATTCTTTATGCTTATTTATTAGTTTATTTTATATTATATATTTATTTATTTATTTATATATTTAAAGAAAGACAAAGAGGTGAAAGGATTGCCTACGACATTTTCTTGTGTTTCTTTAAGTGTATATTATATAATATATATAATATATAATATATATATTATATAATATATATAATATATATAATATATATAATA